TGTGATTAAATTAATATTCTCAAGACATGAAGGCAATCCTGGATTCTCTGGGCAGGCCAAGTACAATCACAAAAGGCTCTGTAAGAGGACGGCAGGAGGATCAGAGTTAGTAAGAGGTGTGCTGGTGGGAGCAGAGGTCGGGGCTGCGAGGAAGGGGTGGTGAACCCTGGAATGGGTCGGCCTCTAGAGGCTGGGGTAGGTAAGGCAGCAGGTTCTCACCCGTCTCTGAAGGAACCAGGCTTGCTAACACCTGGAATTAGCCCAGGGACACCCACTTTGTCTAAGACTGTGGTCCTGTCTATGGACTTCTGACCTCCAGAAGACTAAGCTAATAAATTTGTTGTTTTAATCCTCTAGTTTTGTGGTACTTTGTTACAGCAACAACAGGAAATGAATATAGATGCTATGCAGAAATGAGAAGGCAGGGAGGCAAGATCAGGCTACAAGGGGAGGATGAGGTCAGAGAGGGCAGCAGTGGCTGGGTACTCTCTGGCCCATTCTATGGCCTTGTCTGTGGCCTGTTCTATGGCCCTGTCTATGGACAGGTCTATGGCCCTGTCTATGGCCCTGTCTATGGACTGGTCTATGGCCCGGTCTATGGCCCAGTCTGTGGCCTCCTCTACAGGCTGCACAAGGATTCTGGATTTAATTCTGAAGGTGTTAGGAAACGAGTGGAAAGTTTATACAGGGGAATAACACATTCTGGTTTATGTTCTAAAAGATCATACTGGTTGCTCTTAGAAGTGGATGAATGGGGACAAAAGTGTAAAGCTGAAGGCAGTGAACAAGTCATGTCACAGTCCAGCCTTGAGTTGAGGGTGGTTTGAAGACAATAGGCTGAGCTGGGATGTGTTTTGAGGTGTCAAATCAAAACATAAAACCACTAGAGCTGTAAAAATAAAGCTGAATGTACTGCTTTCCAGGCAAAGCAGAGAAGTTCAAAGGGCCTGCCTGTGCAGAAATGGGAAAAACCAGGTTTAGGGCAACAGTGAGAAGCACAACAACAAAAAAGGGCATGCTACTTAGGACAGGTGTCTGGTTGGCTCATGAGATGGATTGCAACTCTTCTTTGCAATTGGCTGTATTCTCATTTACAGCACAAAAGCTCAGGCACAGATTTGAAAGAAGTTGGGATAGTTGCTAATGTTCTGGTAGGTTCAGTGTCTGCCAAAGTCATATACCCATGCTCAAGTTCAGACAGATTTTCTTTGATGGGAGGCAGTTGACATTATTTGCTAATGGATGAGATGTGGGAGGTGAGTAAAAGAAAGAATCAATGGTAATTGTTAGGCTTTTGGCTGGAGGAACTGAGAGGGTAGGGGGGCTACTTTGCTGTGATGGAGCATAGGGAGGAGCAGATCAGGTGGGAGAGTTAAGAGTTCTGTTTGGACCTTTGAGGTTGATTTTCCCATTGGACATCCAAGTAGAAATGTCAGATAAGCATTTGCACATTTGAGTCTGAAGGTGAGAGGAATGGGCTGGAGATGTAGGCTGACAAGTCACCTGCATAAACATGCATTTTTAATAAAGCAACTTTATTGTGGTATATTTTACATGAAGTTGCATAAATTACATGTGTCCATTATAAGTGCGCTGTTTGATGAGTCTTGACGGGTGTATACACCCAGGCAACCACCACAATAATCAAGATGTAGAACAATTCAGCCACTCAAGAATCTTATCTGGTCCCAGGAAACAACAGATCTTTTTTCTTTCATTTAAGGGTTACTTTGCCATTTTTGGAATTTCTAGAAATGGATCATACAGTACAACCTCTTTTGTGTCTGACTTCTTTTGCTCAGATAATGCTTTTGAGATTCATCCATGTTGTTGCATGTGTCATTGGTTTGCTCCTTTTTATTCTTGAGCAACATTCCATTCTATAGATACACCACAATTTGTTTATCCATTTATCACTTGAAGGGTGTTTGGGTTATTCCCAGTATTTAGCTATTATGAATAAAGATGCCATGAACATTCATGTGTAAGTCTGTGTGTGGACATACTTTTTTCTTTATCTTAGGTAAATACATAGAAGTGGGATTTTGGGGGCAACATAACTTTCTAAGAAACTGCCAAACTGTTTCCAAGTGGTTGTACCATTTTGCCTTCTTCCCACCAGCAATGTATGAAAGTTGCAATTACTCCACATTCTCACTCACACTTGGTGTTGTCAGTTTTTTAAATTTAGCCATTCTAGTAGGTACGCACTGGTATCTTATTTATGACTTATTTATGACTGGTATCTTATCTTATATCCCTAAAGACTAATGATGTTGATTCAATGAAGGGTAAAGAAAGAGATTCAAAGGTAGCTAAGCAAAAGTGAAAAAAATGAAATAATTATTAACTCCATGAGAGCCAGAAACTTGTATAGGAGAAATCTAACTACTGCTCACTCCTTGGGTCATCAAAGGACAATATTTTGATCATCAGAGAAATGCAAACTCTGAGGTTGAATTTAACCCTAAAGTGGGATGTAACTATACTGGGAGGTGTGGGGCAGGGGAGAGGATGTGGCAGAAGAGCTCTGTGCCATAACAGGAGGTCAGTAGGTAGAGCCTATGCAGGATATCTCTCAGCAGGATTGGCTTGAGGCAGAGAGGCACTAACTGATTTGAAATTCTCCAAACATAATTACCATCTTTCTGCGTTCCCCATTATTGGTTGTTAGCAGTTCCGTTCTACTTAAGGAGTGCTGTTAGCCTGCTGGTTTGTAGCCATAGTGGGCCTGAGAACGGTGCTGGTAGCTTGAAGGGCAGACTCAATTCTAAACAGTCCCCCACTGCTTTTCTCTTTTGAAGGAATTTTGGTTTTTTTAGAGCTGGATGTCAGACGGAATAACATCCAATTTTAAATCTAAAAGCAGACTCAATTCCCTAGGTCTTAAAAACACATGCCATATGTAGGCAGAGGAGCTCTGTAAAGATGTGGCTGTGGTTTGATTTTTCCATGAGAACATTTGCTTTTCCATACCTTGCTTTCTGGAAAAATACCATTTTGCTCACTCTCCTGTTGAGATGATGCAGAGTGAATCTATTGAGAGCCTTTTGCAAAGGTTGAGGGGGCTGACGCCTGTCAGAGGGATACATGAAACCTCTCTGCCCCCTTCCATTTTCTTCTCCAGCCTCTGATACTTGGGTCATTTTTATGCTCTGCTTCTGCACCCATTTCCTCAGGTCCTTCTCATCCTGATTTTCTGAATTGTGTTATCTCTTCAGGCAGTGGTGACACATTCTTTTCCCAGGTGAGGTCTAGTCAAGCTCTGCTCCTCACTTCCAGGTCCTCTTGCTTATTTCTCTTAAAAAGAGTAGCAGAAGCTAATATATATAGGGCACTTACTATCTGACTGTGTGTTGGGTTCTGTAATAAGTGCTTTATATCCATTATCTCAGTTAATTTTTATGATGACCCAATGAGGTAAGAACTTGTATTCTCTCCATCCTACAGAGGAAGAATCCAAAGATCCCACTAAGTGATCAGCTCACCTGGTTTGTCAGCCTCCAGAGCTAAGCACTTAGCCTCTGTGATGTATTTCCTCCAATTCGGCCTCTAATTACCACAGCGCAGACGTGCACGGTTTGGATTCTCCTACCCTCTGCACTAGCAGAATTCAAGACTTGAAGTTAAAGAGCCTGAGTAGCTTTAGGATGACTTAGAGGTAGAGTCAGGATTTGAATCCAATCCTGAATGGCAGCTGCATAAGTTACACCCCACCCAAGCCCCTTGAAAGCATAGGGCTGGCAGTGATTCTGTAATGTGGTGGTGTAAAGTAAGGTAAACTGTTTTACAACTGGATTTTTCTCATTAAATGGTGCCCTGAGCAATGTGGTTTGAAGTACACCGGGTGGCAGGATGAAGATGGCTAAGATATAAAATTATCTCAAATTACAGTAGTTAATGTAGTAGGTCTCTGTTCCCTGTTTCCACCAGCAGGTGGTGCAGCCGTCACAGTGGAATTTCCCAGGTAGTCCTCTGAACATCTGTTTCTGTGGAGGCACTTTCAGCCCAATTGACTATGAAATTCTCTCTGGTGAGGTTTGCCTTGTACCGCTCTGTGAAGACAATCTAGGAGGACAGATGGTGTCATAAGAAGCTGGTGTGGAGTTACAGAGATCCTTGTATTTCTTTAGATCACCCCACTATGTTAACTACATTACAGAATAATGGCCAGCCCTATGCCCTCAGGCAATTCAGGTGGAGTGTAACTTCAGCTGCCATTTAGGACTGGATTCAAGTCCTGTCTCTACCTCTATGTCACCCTGACCTCTTGCCCTCTCTGTGCCTGAACTCCTCAGCTGTGAAGGTGACACCTCCTCACTTGGTTGTGATAACAATTGCGTGAGGCTAATACAAAAAAGCATTTAAGAAGGACCTGGCGCATGGAAATGCTCTTAGATGTTAGCTTTTATTAAGCTCCACTCTGTCCGAGTCTAAGGACATCCATTCTGGCAGAAAAGCATCTTTGGTGAAGAGGTTGTTTAGCTCTTCTGAGGTCTCTACATACTTTGCGGGACTTGCTTCATCTCCTGCCTGTAGTACCTTTTCTGTGGCCAGTTTCTGTTTTACAAGATGATGATGTTTAGAAATTGTCCCAGAGAGGAGTATTTAAACAGAATTACACTTAGGAGGAGGTGGTCAGAGCAGGGGCGCTTGCCTGGAATCATATTGGTCTCCTCCACAACCCGCACCAACCAGATGGCCATGTTCATCTCATCCCTCTGGGACGCTTTCCCACTGCACAAGTTCTGTGGAGAACAGAGCTTCCCACTGGGACTCCTCCTAGGGGAGGGGAGCTCACTGTGCCCAGGCACTGTTCTGGCTGGAGTTGGCATCATGGGGCCTGAAGAGGGAATTTGTACCACCTCTCCCCAGTGCCAGACTCCAAGCAGGCACACCCCACCAGCACCAAGGTTAATTCCCAACTGCCAGTCAGTATTTGACTTCCCACAGAAGATTAGATTATACATGCGCCTTCATAAAAGCCTCAGATCACAGACTGCAGCTAGCAAGGGCTTGGCTGGCTGGAAGCTGGGGTGCCCAGCTGGCTGAGATTTATGCACAATCCTGAAGAAGCTTCCAAACAGCCTGGCTTTGTAGCAAGGGATTTAATACTGCTCACACACTGCCTAGGTAAGCTTCCATTGCAAATTCTTTGTTTTTTGAGGAATTAAGTGAGAAACCATCTATTTTCCTTTTCCAGAAAATGATGAAAGAATGATTTTCCTGGTATAAACAGACTTTCCTCCCTTCCTCTTTTCCTCCTTCCTCCCTTCCTTCCTTCCTTCCTTTTTTCTTCCCTCCTTCCTTTCCTCTCCCTGTTTCTTCTCCTTCTCCTCCCTTTCTCCTTCCTCTTTTCCTTCTATAGTGTTTTGATTACTCATTTCTTCCATAATTGCTTTCGGGTGAAAATTTGGAAAATTTCTTATAGAAACTTCATGGTAGATAATCATACCTTCTTCTATTCTTGATATAGACCTGAAACACTTTGCTGTCTTTTGTAAGCCCAGGTGGTGCGAGAAAAGAGAACTTTGGGCTTGGTGATCAAGAGGGCATTACTTTTCTAATCTTGTCCAGATTGGCTTTGTCATAAATTACACACACTGTGACAGGCATGGCTGGAATTAGGGGATCATTCTGTGTCCTGAAGATAGGGCACAACTGATCAATGTGTGGGAGCTCAAACCTCCTTGCTTGTTTCTTTTGCCTGAGCTGACCAGCCACAGGTGATGGGAGCAGAGAGTTATTGGCATGTGTGACCTCTGCTAGGACAGAGGGGTGTTGGGCGCCAGCCGGAGGCCCTTGGGTTTCTAGTCCCAGCACTGTGGCCAACATACAAGTTCTGTGACCTTGGGCTGGTGATTTAAGCTCTGTGGGCTATAGTTACTCCACCTGCTAAATGACAAACCAGCCTAAATAATCTCTAGGGGCCCATCCTGTTTTTTGAGCAAGGACTATTTATTGAAAATGCCTGAAAGTATAGGTCCACATATATTTGGTTGAACCATATTCTACTTAGGGGAGGGAAAAAGCATGTGTACCAAATATGGTCAATTTCTATAAGTTAGCCAGTATCCTGGGTATCATAAATTGAAATCTATGAATATGTTTTAGCCTAATGTCCATCAATGAAATTGCTTTCACACACTGTGATTTGCTTTTTCCTGTGGTTATGGAACAGACAATGGACTGATCAGCCATGTCTCATGCAATTGTGTTCAACAAGTGAATCCCTTGTAGACTTGACTTCTTCAGCCTGGCCAGGGTCAGCACTTAGGTACTTAACCCCCATAGGCCCCTTTCACTTTATGAGTAAGTTTCATCAAAAAGCATTTCCTGATCTGCTTTGCTGTGGGCCTTTATCCAAGTTACAAGGGCTGAACAAATAATCAGTATTAGATGTAACAGGTTGGTGAACTCAGCCATGCCCACAACTGGAAACAAGCCCCCCCAACTCCAGTGGAATCTGGCACTGGAACCCCTCATCTCCAAGATACTTCCTTGCAGAGATTCTTGGTTGGGCCATAGGGGCCCAGGAGTCCCCCGAAATTGAATGTAGAGCTCTGTATGTGCATATGTACACGTTTCTGGGGGAAAATTTAATCAAATTGTTTAATTTCCTTTTTCAAGGGGAAAATCAAATCAAATTCTTTGATTTCCTTTTTCAAGGGATCTGTGAAACTCCCTACTCTCCCCCGCAAATAAGCTGAGTCACAGTTCTGGTAGTTTCCAGTGAAATTCCACAGTACACAGGACAGGAATGTCTATTAACCAAACATTTAGTAAAGATGAAAGTAAAAGAGTGAAGAGGTTAAAACAAAGAGGAATGTCAATTCACCAAACATTTAGCCAAGACCTGTTCTGCGCCCGCCACAGCGTGGGGCTCTGGGATTCAGAGATGAATGAATGAAACCACCCTGTCCTCCGGCAGCTCAGGCTCTCGTGTAATTACGATTCAGTCACTTAAACTCTCTGAACATGTTTTCTTGTTTGTAAAATGGAGATAATAATCTTGATGCCTAGGGTGGTTTGAGACTCACATGCATGAGCACACAGTGAATGGGTGATTCAAGCGAGCAAACTTGGCAATGCACAAAAGCACAGACAGAGATGGCCAACCCAGATGGGGGTGAGGACCATGAGCAGCAAGAGCCCTCCACTATGTCTGCGTGTGAGTTTGGGGATGCTAGGCTCCTCTGTCATGTGGAACTGTATTTCTTCCTCCTCCTTCATGGCAGCTTGGGGAAGCCCATTTTGAAGACGAGGGTCTCTTCTCCCAGCTTTGGGTTCCATTTTCCCTCTCGCTCAGCACTTAACTTAAGGTGCCAGCTATGGAACCTATTTCAGCTGTGGAACCTGAGGCTTCCCTGGGTGGCCTTGCTAAGATCAAAACATGCTTCTCCTATGTCCCCATTCCCTCGGAGCCCTGAAAGGACAAGAGGGTACCAACCAAGCACAGCTTCTGTGTTGGGCACCAGCCTGGATTTTTCACAGAGGGTGGAGTTGCTTTGTCAAAAACATTTGCAGAACATGGTTGGCAGTGAGTGTGGCCTATTCGACTGCCCTCCCCATGTAATGTGGGAACCTTCACTTCCTCTGCTCAGAGGGATGACTGGTAGAGTCCCAAGCTCAGTGGCACAGCCCTTGGAGGAGATAAGATAGGAGGTGGGTGGGCAGAGACGCTCAAAGCCCTTAGGAACCTACAGTGCCAACGCCTCTCTGCGGGAACCCAGGTACAAGGCAGGGCCCACGGGGCCCAGTGCATACTGGAGGTGCTTCAAAGAAGTGCTATCCAACAAGCAAGCATAACTAGAATTATTCCAGTCTTGACAGCAGCTCAGGAAGAACCCTATGGGGATCTAATTCTCTGCTCAGAAGAGGTTCTCCCTCCACCTCGTCCCAGTTTTCTCTGACTCCCCAGGTGCTCAGGACCCTTGACCACCCCACACCTCCCTCATGATCCATCCCTGTAAGTTTTGTGCACCCCACCACCAGCCCTTTATTTGGTACACTTAGCCCCCCTGTCCGTTCTTAGTTGTCCCTAGGTCCTGAGGACCATGAGCAGCAAGAGCCCTCCACTATGTCTGCGTGTGAGTTTGGGGATGCTAGGCTCCTCTGTCATGTGGAACTGTATTTCTTCCTCCTCCTTCATGGCAGCTTGGGGAAGCCCATTTTGAAGACGAGGGTCTCTTCTCCCAGCTTTGGGTTCCATTTTCCCTCTCGCTCAGCACTTAACTTAAGGTGCCAGCTATGGAACCTATTTCAGCTGTGGAACCTGAGGCTTCCCTGGGTGGCCTTGCTAAGATCAAAACATGCTTCTCCTATGTCCCCATTCCCTCGGAGCCCTGAAAGGACAAGAGGGTACCAACCAAGCACAGCTTCTGTGTTGGGCACCAGCCTGGATTTTTCACAGAGGGTGGAGTTGCTTTGTCAAAAACATTTGCAGAACATGGTTGGCAGTGAGTGTGGCCTATTCGACTGCCCTCCCCATGTAATGTGGGAACCTTCACTTCCTCTGCTCAGAGGGATGACTGGTAGAGTCCCAAGCTCAGTGGCACAGCCCTTGGAGGAGATAAGATAGGAGGTGGGTGGGCAGAGACGCTCAAAGCCCTTAGGAACCTACAGTGCCAACGCCTCTCTGCGGGAACCCAGGTACAAGGCAGGGCCCACGGGGCCCAGTGCATACTGGAGGTGCTTCAAAGAAGTGCTATCCAACAAGCAAGCATAACTAGAATTATTCCAGTCTTGACAGCAGCTCAGGAAGAACCCTATGGGGATCTAATTCTCTGCTCAGAAGAGGTTCTCCCTCCACCTCGTCCCAGTTTTCTCTGACTCCCCAGGTGCTCAGGACCCTTGACCACCCCACACCTCCCTCATGATCCATCCCTGTAAGTTTTGTGCACCCCACCACCAGCCCTTTATTTGGTACACTTAGCCCCCCTGTCCGTTCTTAGTTGTCCCTAGGTCCCACCTTTTTCACTTTGGCTTTACAAAAGGAAACTGAATTCTCTCTGGAGGGTGCAGCAGGGGGAATATAAATATGGCAAAATCAGTTTTTCTTATGAGACAAAGATTTGAAGGGGTGGCAGAAACAGAGGGTGAGAACACTTGCAAGTGAAGTCACCCTGCCTCCTCACGTGTAAGACTAGTCCCTGTATAGCTTGGGGTAGGGGCAGGAGAGGAGGGTCTTTGGTTGATGAATTACCCCCAGAGGAATAGATCTTGTCTTTTCAAGGGTTGAGGAGCCAGTGGTGAAGTTCTGTCTTGGGTAGGATTAAAGCCAGTTTAGCTACTCTTTTCCACATTGGCCTATATTTTTTAAAAAAACACTTCTGTTATGTTGCTTGGAAAATGTGCTTGGCACATACTTTGGGACAGTCTTGTCTATTTGTTAAGTCTCTTTCCGACCCACTAGGCTTTACATGGAGGGGAGAGAGACAGAGGAAGACCTGAGAGCTCTTTGAATAATGGAATCTAAAATGTCATATTGAAAAAAATTATTATCTTAATTACGATAATTCTCAGTGAGCGAAATGTTGGGAAGGCATGTTCTATGGGAGAAGGACCTGGAAATTTATTTGTGCTCCCTTCCCAGGTGGAGAGATCTGAAATATTTCTTTTCATAGGAGGAAAGGAAAGACACATTAAAGAGGGGGACGGGGCTTTTGGAAGGGTATTAGGCAGAGCCACTGTGCAGTCGTTTGGGCTGTTTCTGACTGGGTGGACCCGCAGGTCCCTGCTCACCATGGGTTTACTTCCTGCCTACATTCCCTCCAGCCCTGCTCATGTTAACTCGCCCCATCTGTGAACCACCTGCAGCTCCATTCTCTGAGCTCCCCAATCACTGTGTTCGTACCTGTTAGGTTTTTTGCACTTCGCTTTGTCACTTGTTTGCATCTCTCTCACTACACTAAACATCCACAGATAGAATTCTTGTGTTCATCCTCTCTGAATTTCCATGCCTAGCATGTGCCTGGCACATTAATTTATTCATCAAACCTCCATTGCATGCCTGCAGAGTGTCAGGCTCTGTGCCAGCAATGGCTATACCAAGGAAGGGCTACGGAGCCGTGCCCTCATAGTGATGACAGCTGTGGGAAAGGCAGGACCAACCATCCACCATCACACACAGGGATATGCACACACCAACAGACACACAGACCCAGACACACACAATCACACCAGCAATATATACAAATAATCACCACATATCAAGAAAAGTGCTTTGAAGAAAAATCACATGGCACTGCAGAAAAGTGGTTGTGGCACTGGGTGAGCTGATTGAGAACAGGGCCAGGGAGCTGTCTCAGGAATGACAGTTAAGCTGGGACCAAAAGGGAGAGGAGGTAGGAGAGGGAAGAAATGGGCAAAAGTATTCCAGGTGGAGGGAATAGAATGTGCAAATGTCCTGAAGCAGAAGAATATTGATTGACTTGGAGAAAGGCAGACCAGTAAGACTAGAGTGATTGCAGAGGGTGGTCAGGGGCTGGCTCAGGCCACACCAGGCAAACAAACCCCTTTGAGGAACTAGGATTTTATTTCAAGAACAATAGAAAGGAATTGCATCATTTTAAAAGCAAGGGAATGATATGATCCCATTTCCCTCTTAAGAAGAGCACATTGAGCACTGTGCAGAGCAGAGAGGGACAGGTGTGACCCCATGGAGGTGGTTTTGGGGGAGTTGTATTAGTCTGCATTGTGTCACCCAGTGAGAACTGGTGCTGAACAGTGACAGTGAGCATGGAGAGGAGAACTGGACTTGAGAAATATGAATGATCTCTCAGGTTGTTTCATTGCATCACTTAACTAAAATATGTCTTCCAAATGCAGATGTACATGCTCATCTCTTTGGGATACTTGGGTAAAGCACTGCCTAGACATGGAAGATGGAACAAATCTGTCAGTGCCCCTTGTAATCTTCTGCCCCATAATTCTCTAAAAACACAGAACATATGTGAGTCACTGTCTCAGTCATTCAACTGATGCTTGTCGAATGCCTATTTATGGAAAAGGCATTGTGCTAGCTGTTGTGAGGCAACTGATCTATTTAAAAACAGATAATGCAAGATTGGTGATGAAAATTCTAAACACAAGAAAAGTAAAAAGAAGAAAAAATATATTTAAGTTTGCCACCTACTATTAACATTTTGAGCTATTTATTTTTTCCCATTTTCATCTGCATGTATACATTTATTTACATATGTAAGTTGGCATCACATCATACATAGTTTTATGTCCTCCATTAAATTTATTATAAGATATAGGCAAGTAAAAAAGATATAAAATGCACATAAAAAGTTTAAGGAATAACAAAATATGTGCACAATCAATCACCAGCCCGGTTTAGAAGAAATAACACTACTTCCACCCTTGCATGGCCCCTTCGCCATGTCTTAAAGTAGCCAAGTACAGAAAGAATCCATTTTCTTAAACTTGTTGATCTATGTTTTCATTTAAATTGCAGGAGGAGGGAACTATGCGTACTCTATCCAATCTGACACAGACACTGGAAGATGTCTTCAAAAGGATTTTTATTACTTATATGGACAATTGGCGAAGGAACACTACTGCTGAGGAAGAGGCCCTGCAAGCCAAAGTTGATGCTGAGAATTTCTACTATGTCATCTTGTACCTTCTGGTGATGATCGGAATGTTCTCCTTCATTATTGTAGCCATCCTGGTGAGCACGGTGAAATCCAAGAGACAAGAACATTCCAATGATCCTTACCACCAGTACATTGTTGACGACTGGCAATTGAAGTACAAGAGCCAAATTTTGAATCTCGAAGAGCCAAGGGCCACCATCCACAAGAACACTGGCGCAACAGGGATCAAAATATCTCCCTCATAAGTGAGGAGGGCGTAATGCCAACTCTGACACCAGATGTAAAGAGATGCCAGTGCCATGGAGCAAACTCCAATTGTCATTGCTATGAAGACAATAAGTTCCTCACTTTCTGCTGAGAATTTTCATGGAGTTCATGGGGCTGGTCAACTAAGACACATGACGTTTCAGTGTCAGTGATCCATGCTTCTCACTGGAGTTGCATTTCATGCTAAAGTCTTCTTTTACTTTCTATGCAATGTAAATATCATTTTAATCGATGACAATAGTGAAAATAAAGGCCAGATTTGAAGTCAAGTGCCTGAGCAGTGGCAGTGAGAAATAAAGGAGAGATTAACAAATCATTGAATGTTCTTTCTCATGAAACCTTCTTTTATATGTGACTAGTTGAATTTATAAATAACCTGGATGTGGTATCCAGAATTTGAGGTTCAAAAATCTATCACTTGATCATTGGATTGACAAAAGAGTATTTATTTCATTCATGAATGTAGGATCTGAAGGAATGAATGTACAGAATCATGGGGTTACTTTATGTGCACTGTTTTCCTGGCATTTTGCTTAATTGGAAGTCTGAAGACAAAACAAGTGTTTTACAAGGGCAATTGTAAAACCAGAGAAGTAGAATCTTTAAGAACCATCCTGCAAAAGAAACATTCATAAATGAACATTTAAAGTTTCACAGAAAACTAACTTTTAAAAGTTCTTACTGTTTTAGAAAAAAATAAGTCATCACATTGCTTCATAAATAACTTGTTCTTTTCACTCAATTAATTTTCTTCTATGTATAATTACTACTTTTCACTTATGCTTCAAGAGACCAAAGCTACAGAATGTGTCTGAATAGCTGGTGCCTGTTGGAAAGCTACACAGTAGCTGTGTAAAATTCTGTGCCTGGCATTCCGGGTAGCAGAATCATCGGGGTTGGAAGGCACTGTGGAAATCACCATATTCTAGTCAGACCATTTCATGTATAGATGAGGAATCCACAGTCCACAGATTAGTTGGCTTCATTCTTAATTCATTCAATCAACATTCAACATCTTCCTGGGTCACTGGCCTAGATCCCAGAAGTACAGAGATGAATGAGACTCTGGGAGTGGAGGGAACCCACTCAGTAGACAGGGAGTCTGATATGTAGACATGATGATGAAAGAGTGCTACAAGATTATAATGAGGATCAAGAGGAAGTATGCAGGGCTAAAGCAGGGACAGGAGGGCAGGCCCATCTGGGGTGACGGCTAATCTCTCAAAGTAGGTGAGAGTAAGGAAATCAATGGCAAACAGGTATGGGCTATAGCTTCACGCCTCCTTGACTACCCCTTCCTCTGCTCCCATCTCCCCATATGCTCAGTCAAGGGCACAACAATTGTGAGCAGGACCTTAAGTCTCAGGGCATTACGACAAAATTCAAAAAAGGAGCCCTTCTTCAAGGATCTCTTACATAGACCACACAGATTATTTCTTCAGAGTGACATACGTACAAGGTGTCTGTTTTCTAATAACAAATGTGCACGTATGCTAAGGGAAGCATAAATACAGTGTAAGGGAAAGCCATTAGTATTCCAAGGGCAGATGTGGCAGGAATGGCCTTCCCCAGACGAGAAACCCAAAAATGCTGTTACACAGAATGTTCATCTGGTGTGACCAGAAATCCAGGCTAGAAAAATCCCAGCCTTGCGTCTAGATCCAGACAGGGATTTGTGATTTCTACCGGGTAACAAAGACTATCTCCTTACCAGACTTCAGTCATGTTCCTCTGGATTCTCTTCTTGAGCGTTACTTTATCACCACACAATGTCATAACGGGATTTTGAGGCAGTGGGTCTGGGTTCAAATCTAGATTCTGCCCCTGCAATTCGCGCATCTTCTTGTGCCAGCCACTTAATCGCCCCTGGTCTCAGAGTGAGCCGAGCACGTAGTCAGAACTCTGTCATGCCCTCTCGTTAGTTACCCTTGTCTTTGCGAGTCCAGTTTGCGCTCTCCCGTGGGGCTGGGACTGAGTGTGCCCAACTGCACGCGTGTACTAAGCGTTTGTTGAATGGAGGAATCTGGAACCTAGAACCTATCCTTTTCCCAAAGGAAAGTGCATGCATTTTGTCAGCAGAGTTGAACGCTACTGTCGGAAACTTTTGGCGACCCAAGGGTCCTCTGGCGCAGACAGCTGAGAGGAGGATCAGGGAACGCGGGACACTGAGGATAGCTAGGGTAAATTCGGAAGGAGAACAGGCCCCGGGGATGGACTACTCCAATCCAGCCCACGCCCGGGCGGCTCACCCCTGGACAGGCAAATAGTCCTAGGCTTACTGCGCAGGCGCGCGGAGTGGTAACTCAGGAGCTGCGCGGTCCCACTGCGCCAGCGCTGAGCAGTGCCTTTCGGGAAGTGTAGTTTCCCTGCTGCTCTGCGCGATCGTGGTTTTCGGCGGTCGGGCAGTAGAGCTCCAAGGCCTGGAGCTGTAAGTGGGTGACATCCGGGTCAGCGGGATACCCACCCGAAGCCCGACAGTTCTTTGGGGAGCTGGGGAGTCCGGCGGTCGACCCCGAGCTTGTACTTTTGTCTCTAGGATGCCCGCCAGCAGGCCTCCGGCCACGCTGCGCCAGCTCCCCGGGCTGGGACCAGAGGGTGACAGGCGCCACGGCCCCCGCTCCTGGAGCGCCCTTGCCTCGCTAGGTTGTCCAGAAATCCGCGGGGCCCCTGTGTTTAGGCTGATACGGGGGCCGGGCCGGGCCGGGCCCAGAGTTGGTTCTGGGCAGAGGGCTTTGGTAAACGAGCGAATATTCTGGACGCCCTGCTCCGTAGAGGGATGGGGGAAGCAGTGGCCATCCTTGGTCCTCATCCTCGGGTCTGAGCGGGTCTGGTGTTTGTGGCTCCCCAGGTGTGGGGGTGGAGAGGACCCTACCCGGCGCCCCCGTTAGGGAGGAGCTGAGGCCCAGCCCCGTGGCCCTGTGAATCCTGCTGACCCGGGAGTGGGGCCCAAGGCCCACCTGGAACCCCTTCCTCCCCTGCCCTCCTCCTATATGGTTGGGGTAAAAAGAGTAGACTGAGAACACGAACAGACTAAAGACGCAGCAATGAGCTTGGACACACCAAGAGAGAGCGACCCTTGGGTTTGTTAGGTGTGTCCAGAAGAAAATGCAAATTGTGGACAGTACGTCGTCCAAATGGCTTTCATTGACCTAACCAAAATAAGCGAATAGCTTTTCTGTTTTTGTTTTTTTTTAAGAAGAAGTCTGGCAAAGGAAAAGTCAGGAAATTTTTTGAATTAAAAGGAATAGAGCTATTTCTATGCAAGCCATTGTTATTTTTGAGTTTTAAGCTAAGACTGGGGATAGTTCCAGGGTAAGTTTGAAACTTCTTGCCCTTCATAGATTTTATACCTCTCAATATTTTCCCCATCTTGTTGGCTTTTGCAGTTCAGCTGTCAGACACTTGCTGTCTTCTGTTTCTCATATTGCGTCAGGTGTACAGAGCAAATAGCCTGCTGGTATTTTTAGCTTTCCCAGTTGCTCTCATTTGCTGAAGTCCTGCAGGGTGCTACAGAAATGGCTAATTTGGAGCATGCAATTTAAGATAGGTGGGGAAAAGTAATAATTTGGAGGCTGTGGGTGGGAATCTGTCTTTCCATCTCCCACCCTTACCACACCTCTCCCACTACTTTGCAAGGTTAGCTTGAAATATGTTTCCTTCCTAAAAAGCTTGAATTTTATCACTCTAGGTATAAAGTTGAGGCAACTGCCAGTATATTTTTGCAGTCAGTTTCTGTGATATCAGAGGGAATAGGGACTGAATTCCAGAGTTGCAGAATTATTGTTTGGGTTCTGATTTTCAAAATGAGTACTTGGTTTAGAAGTTAATGTCCCCTGTTTGCTCCAGGTCATATGACCCGCCCTTGTGCCACGAAGAGTCCAGATCTCCAGTCCTTGTCTTCAGGTTAGTGTCCTTTATATTGTGCTCTAATGTCTTGCAGTGAATGCATTTTGCCTAGGATGCCATTTCATTGTGGTTTTGCAGCTTGGCATGTCCATTAGTGGAAAGAAAGATATTTATGGTAACAATGGTTGATATTTATTTAATGGTTTCTGCGTGCTGAGCATGGTGCTTAATGTTTACAATCCAATCTGTGATGGAGAATTTACAGATGACAGAGCCGAGGCTTAGAAAGGCCAGGTGACTTGTCCAAGGTCATTTTACTAGTAAACGTAGTGCATGTTTGCAGAGGGCCAGATCCCTGGGTACTCTTTTTATTTCCTGTAAACTTTTTGAACCTCTTTGTTGTCCTTGACCCTGGGAATCAGTGTCTTGTTAGGTATATAATATGGCCTTAGAAGATTAGTGGGGAACAGCCAAAATTGCCTACTGTGTTTGTACACAATTCAGTTAAAGCTGGGTTGCAAAAATAACATTTACACAATGCTAAATATTTTACTTTAAGTTACAACATGGCTAATCCTGGAGATGATCAGGGATCATTCAAAGTAAAAATGCTAGCAATAGGTTATTACATGTTAGGAATATATTTCTGCAGGGCAGGACAGACTCTGCTGCTACCTAAAGATAAACAGGCCATGGATGCATTAAAATAATGAACATTTGCAATCACAGTGAAACAGATGGATGGTGTACATTCCCATCGTTAGCTTATCTGCCTTTTTGAAAGTCATGGGGGAAACTTGGCTATCTTGTGCCAGCTGCCAGCTTGTTTCCAGGAAACTGTGACCTTGAATAGATGAATGTGAACTTTTTATATTTCAGTGCTTTTGTAAGTAAAAGTTTTTATAAAATACCTTCCCTCAAGTTCATCTTATTGTCCCCATTCTAAAGGCCTGTGCATTTTTTCTGCTGATTTTTAAAATTCTAATTGTAAGTATATTGAAAGAAAAGCATCCTGTGATTTTTGAATGCAAAGCTTTCTTCATGCATCAGGATAAGATTCTGGAGCCAGACTGGAGGGGTTCAAGCCCCCCTTCCCACTGTGTGACCCTGGGTGTGTTATGTAAACTTTGTTTTCTCGTCTCAGCAGTGGAGACTGCAAACTAGACTGTCTAGAGCTGGTGCAAAGATTAATGGGTTAATGCATCTAGTGCACAGCAGCACGATCGGGCACAGCAAGGTGAAGCTATGATCATGCTGTTAAGTAGCTGAATTTCAGAAAAATAGGGACCCTAGAGCCCATCTAGTTGACAACCCCCTTCTTCCTTTACAGGTGGGACCGAGGCCCTGAGAGGAAGTCACTTACCAGAGTGTGTAGGTTCTTCCTCCAGGGCTTTGGGGTATGTGTCATATTCTAAAAAGAGTCAACTGCAAGGCCTCAGAGCAAATCCTGTGCTCTGTGTCCCTTGTCACTCCTGCCTCACCTTCCTCTAGGCCTTCTTCACATTTTAGAATTCTAGACATGAATAGCTTTCTTAGGACAATTCTTTTTCCCTGTTATTTACTCCCTTCCCTCCACATACTTCTAAAAAACCAAGCTTGGTTTAATTAACATTCAGAGGACCTGAGAAACAGGCGCTCATCCATTAAACCATCTCTTGTCCCGGACAAGAGGTGGGTGGAGGGACAGATTTTGAAGCTGAGCTCTTATGTCCACAATGAATGGCATGGGACACATGTCCCCTTTGGGGCAGCACTGCCACCTCTGCTTGCGCTGCTTCCCGCAAAGAGCAGCTGAGGAGATCTTTCTGCTGAGCACATCAGGCTTGTCTCAGCCCTCATCCAGACCATTTGCTTCCCACCAGGCTTGGGTCACCTTGCTGGGGACACCTAGCCCTCCACTCTGCAGAGCTCGCGCTCTTTGCTCATGTGCCCTCTCTCCATCAAAGAGAAGTCTTCGTAAGGTGGTCTGCTGCAGACAACCCAGAGTGACCTCTTTCTTCTCTTCCCCAGCAGACCAGTGAGACCTGACCCTCCTGTCCCCTCTCCTCATCTGCTTGTCTGAGTGGGCCCCACACTGACCAGGAGCGAATTCACGGTGGGTCCAACATGAACTGGAAGGTGAGAATAGTCCTGAACATTTATGGTTTGGGTTTTTCTTCTACTGAATACAGTTCAGTAGGGGTAGGTTGATTAAAAAGTAGATTAAATCAGGATCCTAATAATATTTAATATTTTATTTTAAGTTAAAATATGTAAGTATAAATTTATTCACTAGACTTAGAGGAAGGCAAGCCATTTTCTTTGAGAGGCCTCCAGTGACTTCAGATCTCCCTCAGTTTTCCTGCAAAAGCCATGCCTTTAAAGTTTCATCTACAGTTTCACATTTTGCTCTCTTTAAAGTGGATTAAGATATTATGAAGCAATCTACATACAAAACATTGCAGATTTTTATGCTTTCCTTCCCTAAACTTTTACATTTGTGTTGCCAACAGCACTATTTTTTCCAATTCTAACTTGAAATGTATTTTCAAGCAATCGTTAGTTTTCATGGAAACAACTTTTTCTTTATGTAGTCATATTTCATAAGGTTGTGTTTATGTAAATTATCTATTATAACATCAGGTACAACTTAAACTGGTTGGGGAATAAACACAACTGACCTGTGTAAAATATTAGTCAGCTGGGAGAAGCAGAAGTTCAAGAGCCATCAAAGAGTAGCCTGCAAGCTGCAAGCATTCAGTGGGCCTTGGGCCACAGTCAGCAGGTCCTGCAGAGGCAGAGGGGAGCGTCATGTTATATCCCTGAAATGGGTGGGGTGAGGAGGAGCAGCCACTAAAATACATTTCATTACAGATCTTTTGAAAAGTATAAAATCTAATAGAAATTATGCATTGTCTTACCATCCAGAGATGGCTTCCATGAACAATTTTGTTGTATTTTCTTCTAGTGTTTTTTTCCACATATATAAGTGTAGTGTGTATATTTTCAAACTTAGGATTTCATTGTGTGCAGTTTTTCAAGTACTGTAAGCATTTCCTTGTTCAAAACATCCACTAGCTTTCCAGTTGCAAGGAGAACTGGAAAGGTCAGAGAGCTGGATCAGGGAGCTGGGAGAGTTTGGAGCCCCTCCTCCCCAGCTCCCTGGGGCCTGCGGCCTGTTCTCCAGGAAGAGCCTGGTTGAAGTTAAGGGGGCAGTGTGAGGATTCTGAGAAGGAGTTGAAGGAGAAGGAGCATTTGTTTAGCATGTCCTGGGATTCCAGAACTCACAGTGGGCAGGCTGGGAAGGAAAGATGAGGCAGTGAAAGGATTTAAGGGGAAGAAACAAAAGCGGTGTGGGACATTTAGGGAAGACTTTGACCTTGAGCAGTGCTTTGACCTTCATCCTTCAGTAGGATGATAGGTACGAGTCAACACGGGTCAGAGCGTCATGCTTGATGCTCTGAGGTGGGGCTCTCCCACTTGCACGGGCATCAGACCTACCCTGAGGACTAGTTAAGACATGGATGTGGGCCCCTCTCCAGGACTTCTGGTTGCTTAGGTCTCGGGTTAATGTGCTCCCAGGCTGTGCCTGTGCACACTGGCCTCAGGCCCACCTGTCCACCCAGGCCAATCCTGCCTGTGGCAAAAGGAGTCCTTTCTTGTGTTGGGAACAAAATCTGCCCAAACCTTTGCAATTTTAGGCAGACACGCGGTTCCGTGGCTGCCAGGGAGCAACCTCATGTTTACAAAGGGGGCCCTTCCCTCCAGTGTCAGAAAGGAGTGTCCTCTCCGCATGCCTTGACTGCACAGAGCTCTAGAAGCTGAAGGAGTATGTAGCCCCCAGCGCATCTGGTGGCCTTCCCTTTCTGGCTTGGTGGGCCTGTGGCCATCAGTGGTAGTCAACACTATCTGGGCATTAGCAAGGTGTGGCCTTATTTGAAAAGTCAGCCATTCTCATTATATGGTATTGGGGTTTATTTTTCAGAATTAGTATAGATCCAGTCCACTCCAACCATATGTCATCTATCTCTTTGAAGATTTGTATGTTTTGAGAGTTAATATGAGAGATTTGTTAGAAAGAAAGCAAAGGAAGTGATTAAACACACCTGAAGCTTAGAACCTGAGAGGGGCAGAACAGGGACCCTGAAACCCTTAGCTTTAGCCTTGTCATGTCCTTGACTTCTGCTGCCGCTCTGCCCCTTCAGTCCTGAAACTTCTTCCTCCTGCCCCCTCCTCTCCTTGACCTTTAAAAAGAAAGTAAGTACTGAAACCACTTACCTGTGTCCATTTGTTGAGGTACTTCATTCCAATGGGTTTTCTAACCTCTGGGTGAGATACACATTGTTCCTGTAACTGCTGAAGCCAAGTGTCGTGTTTAGATCAGGGAACCATGAACCGTGGTGTGGACTCCACCATAACAGGACTCCAGGGGCTCATCCATAGAGATTGAGAGAACGGGAGGAGGGTAACTTTTCCCAGTGTGAATTAGAGTTCTGTGAGCCTAGAACATTCTAGTGAACACTCCAAACTGTTGATTTTTACCTCTAAGGAGGTAGAACAAAATAACATTTAGCATCCTTTTCTTTCGTAGCTAGTGTATAAACATGGAGATGAATTAGAGGATTATTATGGGGGAGACTCCTAGGTCTGAGGGAGGAAGAACCTAGAAATCAATCAGTATGCAAAGCTGCTTAGATTTGTCAGGATAAAAAGTCTCACTTTTGTGCCTTTTTTATCCTGTTGCCACAGTGATCTTTTTGACGTGCCTTATGTTGTGTTTATTCTTTACCTTAAAGTGATTTTGTGGTTGAAAACTATTATCTGATTACTCAAAGTGTACTTGTATTTTGCTCTTTTAGCTAAAACAACTTAAATATTTGAATTCCTCCCTTTGCTATCATATTCTTTATGCATCACCACCGCAGCCTTCCTCAAACTAAGTAATGTAAGAGGTAGTGACTGCAGCTGCTTTTAAGTTCAGGAGCCAGGCCATCGTTTCTTTGTATAATTAAATAGTAAAATTGGTGAGGGTCAGGAGGGCATCCTATTTATTACAGGACAGTGTGGTGATGAAGAGGTCTGGCTTTGGAGCAGTCAGAGCTTGGTCAGGCACCAGCCTTTCTGGACTGTCCATTTTCTCAGCCATGAAATTAGGATGCAGATACTGTGAGAATTAAAGGGAAAAATCTGTGTGAGGCACTCAGTGAGCTCCCAGGAGATCTAACTGATGCTGTGACTTCTAAACATGAAATCCACATCTAGGTGTGAACCATAAAGAATCTGAATTTAAAAAAAAAACATGGAAGTATGTAGTTTGTGACTTCATTAATTCTGTTTCATTGAGAACCAGGAATCCTTGGAAAGAAGACTGGCATCAGGGTTAGAATGTTCCATCCTAACTCTGGCCTCATCATGAATGAGCTGTGCGGCACGGATGGGCCTCCCAGGCCCCTAGAGCTTGCTTTCCTTATTTGTAAAACAAAGTGATAGTCTAAGTCATCTTTAAAGTCCTTCCCAGCCTTCCAGGTCTGTGAGCATATTGTTCACAGCTGAAGTTTTCACTAGTTTTGGATCAACTTTAGTTAAACTATTAGACGGAGGGACAAATGTATGCCCACAGTGGAATGTCATTACAATGGATTTACCTTTAGTAGGTGACATTGGGCAGTTTAACATAATGATTTCTTTGGAATAAATCCTTGGTGCTCTAGAACAGTGATTACTCAACAGAAGCATACCTTTATTTGGAAAGGGATTTTAATCATACAAAAATCTCATAATTATCATTCAGGTCATACTAGTCATCTTTATGAAAAAGTATAGTATTTTCCTTGAAATAGTATACAGCACTACTGTGCTGTAGAGAATAGCTTAATAAAACTTGCTAGTGCAAAGAATAATTCAAATTCAGAGTTATTCCTTAGACTTCATTTTAGCCAATGGGTTAAAACTTACCTCCAACAGGAAATTGCAAGAATAGGTAATAAGTAGCTCAGCTTTAATGTTTTGAGTTTTATTGTATTTTTATTTTTTATTTATTCTACTTTCAAGTGCCAGGGCTAATGAGTAGCCAGAACCAAGAGGAAATCGCAGTGTCCTAAAGTTATAAAATCCAGAAAGAAGTTGTGGTCAGCTTCCCTTGAAGAGGCAGAAGTTCAGAAATTTAAGTGACTGACCCGGGTCCCACAGTCCGTGGCAGAGCACAGCGGTGACCCAGGCCCTGACTCCGGCGCCTCTCACTGGCCCACGGTGCTGCCTCGGAAGCAGAGGATCTGAGTGATCAGCAGAGTGCACGGTCGGGCTGTGGGAGGCCAGAGTAGTATCTGCAGACCACTGGCGGCTCTGCTGGGTAGCCAGCAGCAGCGAGCTGGGAGGGGCCGAGCCAACACTAGACTGTGGCTGTCTTGGTCCCCAGGGTAGTCCCAGCACCTAGCCTATGACACATACAGGTGCACAGTAAATGTTTGTTAAATGAAAGAACATAAAAGAAACATTCTTTATTGATTATAGAACATTTAGAATAGTTGCTTTCTCCTTTAAGGTTCTTGAACATGTGCCCCTGTTGCTGTATATCTTGGCAGCAAAAACACTAATTCTTTGCCTGGCATTTGCTGGAGTGAAAATATACCAAAGGAAAAGACTGGAAGCAAAAGAGCAAAGACTAGAAGCTGAAAAGAAGGATCAAACAGAGAAGAAAGATAACTAAAGGGAAATCAAAGGTACTGGGACTTTGCAAATGGGAAATCCGCAGTGGGTCAGGGTGGGCCAGGCAACAGACGCGATTCAGAGAATTACATGCGCCCCTGAAGGGGTGTGAGGGCGGAGGCCTCATGTAATGCAGAGTGGCTCTGCGTAAGGCGAGGTGCTCAGGTCCTGATGCTTGCATCCTGGCTGCGGCGGAGCCAGGGCGCACACGTGATTTGTCCACACCTCTGCTCTGTGCCTGCAGTTGTTCTCCCTCCTTGGGAACAGTGGTGCTTAACAGGAATGGGTGGCACAGGACTCCCTTGAGAATTACATGGAAGCTGTGGCCCTTCTGGAGAAGTGTGCATACTAGAAGCACATAAGATTGTACACGAATTTCAGACAGGCATGGGGAGGAGGTGAGGTCAAGTCATTTGAAACCCTTGCCTATACCTAAGATTAAGAAGCCCTGTTATATCTTCAGGATAAAGCCTGGCTCCTGGGAATGGCATGTAAATCCTTTCCCAATGTGTCCTAAGCCCTGGTCACATTGGCCCCCTCTACTGCCCACTCCCCATGCTCTGACAGCGCATTCCTTGGCCACGATAGACTTTCATGCCCCTTGGCCTTTGCTTCTTAGTTCCCTGGCACAGAGGGCCCTTCCTTGACAACCTCCTCTCCAGGCACAAAGTCTTACTCATCATTGTAGCCCTGTGCCTGTCTCAGCACACGGGAGGTGCCCAGAATGGGTTCAGTGGGTTAAGGCACCAGGAAGTCATTAAACCCCCTTTGCCAAGTGAACACGTGACAGTGTCAGTTCCTTGTTGCCTTAGTTCTGGGGTACTGATCTGGTTTCTTCATCAGGTTGAGTTCTGTGCATCTCTAAAAATAAGAGGATTCAAATAATGGCAGAGGATTCTAGATCAGTGGTTCCCATATTTGACTAATGATCAGAATTGCCTGGGGTGCTTGTTTAAAATGGGGATTCCCAGGTTTCAGCCTCACAGAGAGTCGTTTATGTCTATTGTTGGGTCTGGACATCTGTTCTTCTGACAACCCATTAGTGACTCTTACATAGTCCTCTCAGTGACAGGTCACTCTAGGAACCCCTGGACCAGTGATCTCCCAAACCCTGAGATTCTATGCTTCTATAATTCCCTACCTAGTAGTTCTAGCCTTGTCAAGGTTAAAGGCATCCTTGTAGGAATAAGAGCAACACTTACTGAATGATTATTCCGTGCTGGCACTTTGCTTAGCTTTTCTTATACGGTGGTGCTATTATTCCTCATGACAACTCTGTGAGGTCCATTCAGAGGAAAAAATGGCTCATACTGTACATGGTGAAGAACAGATCAGAAATGGGCGTGGGCCCAGCATTCACGCACGGGGCCTCAACTCCAGCTGCATTGCCTACCTGAGTGTGAGGCACCCTGCGTCTCTGTCACTCAGGCCACCAGTCAGTGATCCTCGGTGAGCTGCATGCTTTTGCTGTCTCAGAACTCCACCTTTAAAAAAATAAAAGATGTTTTAATGACTCAGGAGTAGAGACCAAGGTGAGGTGAGAGGGAGCACTTTGAAAGTAAAAAGAGTGAGGGTGGCAGTTCTACTGCAGATTTTCTGTTCTGTTCCGGGCAGGGTCACCATTCTGTGCGTTAAGCTGAGAAGAGGAACAAAAGAGTAGGCATGGGATCATCAACTCTTCTCCCCCGCCCCGCACAGACCTGCCTGGGTGGGTGGTACGCAGCTGGGCTTGAACTGACTGGGGCTCGTTCTCCCTCTGATGGCAGCTTGTCCAAGACAGAAGCCTTGTTTAAACAAAAGGGACTTTAGGTGGAAGGAAAATATACTTATTAATGGGTAAGCTCCAGTGGTTCCTGTTTAATGGCAAACATAAGGGTTAATGCTGAGTGAGTCAATGTTAGTCATTAATCAGACATTTCACACCTATCCCTTTGGTCTTCTTTTCTAGGTTTTGCAATTTAAATGTCAGCTGGAGTGGATTCCAACTGAGAAGAGAAGAGAGACTTAATCATTGATCACTGTGTCAGAGGATAACTTTGCAATCCATGGGTGTAACTTAAAATTATGTGACTTTTTATATGCTTTAAAAGAACCACTGTTTTGTTACTAAAATACCTTTGTGAAGAGGGTGTCCCCTGGTCTCTGGAATAAGCCAGAGTCTGTCTGTCTCACAGACACCCCACTCCCACCCCGCTGTGTTGTGCGAGGAGAGAAATTTGCAAACCGCCATGTCTGCTGGCATTTCCTCCCTATGGGTGCCAGATCATGGGTGCACAGAGGATGGGGCTGCAGGAGAAGTGGTGTCTGCTCAGGGTGGGGTGGGCGCCTCTGCCCCACTGCCCTCCCCACACAGTACATTCCTTTTCTCCTCCCTCTTGTTTTAGTTACCCCCTTTGGGTGAAGGGCGGCTGTGCATGTACCCGGGGTGCGCTGTGAGGGTCCTCGGGAGGATTGCAAGGAGATCCCTGTCAGCCGCAGTGTGTGCCCTGTCTGCTCACTTCACCAGACCCCTTGGGACGGGGTGGCAAGAGCCGGGCATGCTTTGTCCTCCCCTCAAGTTTGCTGATAAAAGAGGCAAGGTGGGATGTACCAGGAGACATCCAGAATTCAGAGTGGGATGGGTAAGATTTTTTTTCTCAGCACCTAACATGTCGAGATCTCTGCTAAGGGTTTCTGTATGAGAGTGGCCGGAGCAAGGAAGCGGTAGCCAGAGCCGTACATGCGGTGGAGTGTGTGGTGTCAGTGCTGGTGGGCACATGGAAAATTTGCACGAGTGTGTTACTAGGTGACCACCCACCCCGCCCCACATTCATAGAACCGTGACTTCCAAGACTTTCAAACAGGAGGAGTAAAGGAAATTACCTTTCCTACATTTTACTGTAATTGCTGGGTGCTCATAATCACAATTTAGAAAGCAGAGTTTGCATAGGATCAAAGTTGTAAGCTCAAAATAGACCCTGTAAACTACCAACCCAAAGTGTCTTAGGTTGTTCCTCCCTTGATCTCTCTACTTGCCTTCCTAATGATTAAAAAAGGGAATAGAAACCTAAACTGTTTTTATTAGAATGTTTTTGTTTTCAAATAAAAATAGCTCCTGTTGGTTTATTTTGTTCATCTGATAATCTGAAAAACCTACGATATTTTTCTTATTGCAAAATAATGTGTCTTTAAAAGTGATTCTACCTCTTGCTCAATTTTGTATTGCAATACATTTTTGCCATGGTATCCAGTGGGTTGGACACTCTGCCAGCCGACGTCTGCTGTGATGTCAGAGGCGAGCTGTGCACCAAGTGAGCTGTGGGAGAGGGAGAGAAAGAGCTGGGCCTGTGTGACTTAGGCAGGCATGGTGGTTAGGCACGTGGTATTTAGAGTCTGGCCTGAGTGACCGCTCAATGCCTCAGTTTTCTTATCTGTAATATGGGAGAAATAATAGAACCTACCTGTTAAGGTTGCCCTGAGAATGAATGGACTGTTCATTAGTAGAGATGCAGGGTGAATAATGGCTCTACATGTGAACTCTGGATCTGAATCTTAGCTCCTCTGTGTGTACTAGAGCAAGTTACATAATCACTCTGCATCAGTTTACCCCATCTAAGAAATGGGATAATAGTAGTAGTTCCTCCACTGCAGACGGTTGTGAGGATTAAATATATTAAGCATGTGTAGCTGTTAGTGCACTCCTATCCCAGGCCACCTACACTTGGGCCAGCACAGTGCCAATGCATTAAGGTCACCAAAGTGGTTTGAGTCCTGTTACTTGCTCTCAAGGAACTTAAATTCTAAACATACGTGAAACAGGTAGTGAAAATGGGCACACAAATGTATCACACAATAAGAGTAATTTCACGAGGCTATTGCTGATGGGACAGGCAGTGTTTCAGGTGTCAGAAGATGACTTTCTTCAGCACCTGTGGCCAGATAGTGGTTCCCCGAAGGTTTCCAGGTCCTAATCCCTGGAACCTGTGATTGTCACCTTATGTGGAAAAGGAATCTTTGCAGATGTGACTAAACATGTTAAGGATTTTGAGATGATCCTTGATTATCCCAGGAGGCTCTAAAGCCAATCACTAGTGTCCTTATAAGTGGGAGGCCAGATTTGACCCAGAAGAGGAGAATGTGGCCACAGAAGCAGAGATTGGAGCCATCCAAGTCGAGGAATGCCCACAGCCAGCAGGAGCTAGGAGAGGCTAGGAACGCTCTCCCAGAGCGCGCCTGGAGGGAGCGCGGTGCACGCCAACCCTGATTTTGGCTCAGCATATCTAATTGTGGACATCTGGCTTAGAGAACATCTGGGAGAGAGTAAGTTTCTGTTGTTTTAGGCCAAGTCTGAGGTGCTTTGTAACAGCAGCCACAGGAAGCTAATGGGGCACCACGGCTGTAAGGTGGGAAATGTACCAACCGAAACTACCTGATGCCCAGAGGTTGGAGGCTGTGGGAGCAGTTCATCCCCAGATAAAATGCACAGTAACAAAATGCTTCAGCAGCCTGCCACTTAGGTGCTGAAAGCACTGAATCCCTGTTTTCATCCGATAAAGTCTGAATAATCCAGGGACCTTCGGGAGGGAAATAGGGCAGGAAGGCAAGCAGAGATTCTGATGCTTTCTGGAGTCGGCTGTCAGGAACCCAGCTTCGTCATCATACAGGTGAGGAAGTCTGTTAGCACTTGGTTAGAAACTCTCACAAATTGTTTCGATACACTCTGGAATAGTCACTTCTATTGTAAGATTACTGCCTGAACATATATAAAGAGGAGTGAAGTTCATGGTATGTTTAATGGGAGGCAGGCCTCTTTCTATAAAAGTGAGAAGTACCACCACAAGCCCTTACAACCACACCAGCAGCCCCCCTAAGCCTGAATAGGGTGCTATTGAATCAGCTGCAAGAGGCTCAGCTCCCAGGGCCCCAGAAGCCACACCATGACAAGTCCAGCGACCTGCTGGGATTCTTGGAGTTGGGCTGGGATATGGGTTGGGTAAGTGAGTCCCAGACCCCTTGCCCTGTTCACCTGTATATCCGCCAAGTCCCACCTGATCCAATCACAGTGACAACTTTCCAGGCTCCTCGCTGGGACCCCCAACCTGCCTGGGAGCATCTGGATGGGGTTTCAACTTCTGGGATGTCTCGTCCACCCTCTGCCAGCTTGCCCTCAAGCAGTGGGAAGGCAAGAGTCTGGTTAGCCACCGTTTGGATCCCATCTCCAGCTGATGGCAAGCTGGCTTCCCATGGGTTGTTTTGGTGGCTGAAACACATTGGCACACTACTTAATTCCAACAGTTTTGTGATCGCATACTTGGTTTTTATCTCTCAGACCTAAATTTTGACCACCTCATCTTTAGGTCTGCTCACCCTTGCTCACAGCCAAACTCCTTTGGGCCAGATTAGCCCTAATCCTCCATTAACATAGTCCTCAAAGTGGCCTAAACAAGATGGGAGTCGAGAGCGCTAATTTAACAACAAGATTTAATAAAACCTCCAGTAAACTTGAAGCACTTCACCAACACTCCAAGGCTCCTCAGTCCACACACTGTCCTTGTGGGGTCACTGTAGGAGTCTCTGGCTGCAGTGGTCCAGAATTGGGCCCAGCAGCGTGGGCAAAGATCATGCCATAGCGTGGGCCCACCACTTGTGCGAGGACTCATCCTTCAGGAAATTTACTGAGGTAGTAGTTTTCCCATCGCCGCACTTGGCTAACTAATATTTTCCATTTGCTTGGGTTTATCCTTTCAACCCCTTTGCTAATTAAATCATTGAAAAGTATATATTTGTAAGAATAGACACTGTCAATGTACTGCAAGCAAAACTCCTTTCTGTTATTGATGATGAACCACTTCAGAGATGACCAGGCTATGTCTAAAGGGTTCAGGTGATTGTAAAGGGAAGGCAGAGAGAGTAGTTCATGTCCACAGGACTTGGCCACCTGCGGGCAACACATGACACTTGTTAAGTTAAGGACTGATGGGGTCTGGACCTGAACCTTGGACTCTCTGTCCTCCTTTGGCCTCATCTCCTCCTGCAGCCTTCTCTCTTTGACCACAATGGCACACTTCCCATAGGCCTTCTTCACCGCATCACAGAACTCAAAGAAGAGGCCATCTTCTTGTTTGATGCATAACTCATCTCTTAGGAACATCCGGTACTTCCAGGGCACCCATCCTTGGATACCGCCGGCATGCACAATACACCAAGTTGGAGTTTGCATAAAATATCTATTGCTAAAATCTTCCCCAGTTACCAGACTTTCAGGGATATTGGTTTCCCCAAAATATACAGTCTTAAATCCATCATACTGCAGTTTTCTCAGGGTTTTCAAATATTGGAGACATTGCTTCCTCTTGATGTTATCAAATGGATTTCTGGTAATGATGTTTCTTAAAAGAGGGTTTGTAAAGTGAGGCATGATGGCTCATGTTTTTAAGAGCTTGCATGTCTCCATCTGCAGAGACCTGGCGAGAGTGAGGTGATGACCTCATAAAGGGCTTTCTTACAGATAGGCCAGTTCCATAGACACACTTGGATTTCAGAGCATCATGGGAAACATGCTCAGAACAGTCACCTCTGGCCTCTATGATACGGAAATGGGAAACGCTATCCATATAAAATGTTTCTTTGATATTGCTCTGCAGTAGGTCTGGGACAGAGATTGGCAGTTGTATTAGTTTGCTAGGGCTGTCATAACAAGATACGGCCGACTGGCTGGTTTAGACAACAGAAATTTAACGTTTCTTGCAGTTCTGGAGGCCAGAAAGCCCAAGGTATTGGCAGGTCTGCGTTCCTCTGAGGCCTCTCTCGTCTGGCAGATAGCCGCCTTCTCCCTGTATCCCCACATGGCTGTTCCTCTGTGCATGTCTGTCTGTCCTAATTTCCTCTTCTTCTAAGGACACCAGTGCTGTTGGACCAGGGTCCACTTGTAAGACTTCATCTTATTTTGATCACCTCTTTGAAGAAACTTTCTCCAAATACAGTACATTCCAAGGTACTGGGGGTTAGGGCTTCAACATATGATTTTGGGGGGACACAATCCCATCTGTATGTACAATATTTTAACAGTGATGAGCCAAGTTTCTGACCCCTTTCCATTTGGCTTGTTAGGATGGAAAGGAATATTTACATTCACTCATCTATTCCAAATATATTTATTGAGCACCTGCTAAGCACCAGGCATTGTGCCAGGCCCCAGGGGTACAGCCATGGCATGTCCAGTGAGGCCCAGGCCTGTGTGTGGTTTGTGTCTATGTATACATGGAGTTCATGCCAAGTGCCTGCCCACTTTCACAGCCGAGAGTGGTTTTTCTGGGTGGCCGAAGAGGATATGACAAATAGCAAAAGAAAGTCAGCCTGCACATCTGTCTTTCACTGGGGCCGCCAATTCTTGAGCTAATTCACGCCATCTGGCAAGCACTTTCTATTTTACATTCTCAAACTAACAGTTTCCTTTAAACTGTAGCATCCTCTTAAATTTCATTTGTATTTTCCTGATACATTAATTAATAATGCTGTAAATGAATTTATGCCGAATGAATGTTTAAAATCTTTGAGTTCAGAATGATACTAAAAAACACACACACAATTAAGAAATACTCCAAAAACTCATGAGTTGCTTTTGGAGAAGCTCTCAGAGGGCATTACTGCATTATTTTGCCAGTTAATAAATAAAAGAATCAAACGTCTATCTTGACTTTCCTTGTGTGCATCCAATTCAAAGCCAGGAAGGTGAGTCCAAGCAGATATGAGGCCAAGGTGGGGGGTATGAATGTGCCCAGCGGGCAGTGTAGTGGAGTAAAGGTGATCTGAGCACTGGGGGCTGGGGCAGAGGCTCTGGTATGGATAAACTCAGGGTCAAATCTTAGCTCCACCCTCACCAGACTCAACTTCTCTCTCTGTAAAATGGGTAGAATACTTATGTCAAAGAACTGAGATGGGGATTAATGAGGCACTGTACATAATCCACTGGCACAGAGCTTAATAAGTGGTTGCTGTTACTGTTGAGAGACTGGCTGGAAAGACCAACCCTAAGAGAGTTTGGCAGTGACTGGGGAGAACTCAAAAGGCTATGGGAGGGAGGCACAAAGGAGGAATAAAGGAGAAAAAGAGAGAAAAAAAAAAGACCTAGGACAATGTTGAAATGAATGTCCTCCATTTCCCCACAGTTACAATGGAAAATGTTCCCTCCCATTTCCCTCCCTCCTTCCTCTGTTTCTCTTTTGCCTTTCAACTGCATCAGCAAATCTTGAATGCCTCCAGCCAAGGAAGGCATTATCTTATGGGAGCACAGAGTCAACAGTCTCAGGACAAGAAGGCCCAGGGGCGGGGAGGTTCTAGGAGCACAGCCTCAAGGGAGGCAAGACCCTCCGAGAGGGTCACAGGGTGGACCCTGTGCGAAAACCCGGGGGGTAGGGTGGCAGAGGGGAGCAGCTTGTATTTCAGCTGAGATAAATCTTCAAGGGGTCCCAGCCTCCCTACTCAAGGCTTGGTGTGCGGAATAAAACAGATGAGCCCTGAGCAAGGGGTGAGCTGCACAGATCCCAGCAAACGTGCAGCCAAAGGAGGTTTCAGAGGGGTCTGCTCCCGAGGTTGCTCTGCTGAGGGGGATGGATAGGGAACAGAGACACAAAGGTGTGACGGCAAAGCAGGAGAAGGGAGGAGGGACCAGTGGCCATGTGGGGGATTCTGAGAGCCAGGTTGCTGAGGCGCCCCCTGTTTACACACTGTACACTTCCTGTTTGCCAAGAGGTCTGTGACTTAAACCTCTAGGCCTACTTGGGTGGTGAGAGCACCCCCTGGCATTTCAGGAAGTTGGAAGCCCTGGAGGGATTAGGAACAGAGTGGGGTGGGGAAGGAAAGGATCTGTTAACCTGCCAGAATTGAAATTAAAAAAAGATTCTCACTTTCTGAAGTTATAAGCAATGCGTGCGTGTTGCAAATAATTTCCAGAAATACACAAGTCTCCTGTTCTTTCTCTACCCATATCTCTGTTTCATGTACCACAGTCATCCAGACACTTTCGACTTGGATATACAAGTGTAGATATAGATCCATGAAGAGATGTTCGATTTTTTTTTAATGAATTATACTCTATATTCTGTAACTTGCTTTTGTAAACCAAATGATAAGTCACAGACATTTTTCCATGTCATTAATGCTGGAAACCTCCTTTTTTAATAGTTACATTCTGTTAGATGTGGCACACATATTTGACAAATGCCTTGTTTTGTGGATGTTTAGAATGTTTCCAGATCTTTGCTATTTTGAACAATGCTGTGATGAGTATCTCCTCATAGTTAAAGGAGTGTCAGGTAGATACACACATATATAGATGGCAGGGGAAAGGAGGTGCCAAAAGCTACCCGTGGTTTATATATTGGTAGATATTGCCAAATCACCTCTAGAAAGTTCATACCAATTTTTATTTTACAGATATTTACCACCACTTGATATTAATATTACTCATCTTTGCCAATCTGATAGGCAAAAATGTCATTTTATTGTTTTTTTGAGAGGGCATCTCTCATATTTATTGATCAAATGGTTGTTAACAACAATAAAATTATGTATAGCGGAGTCAATGCTCAATGCACAATCATTAATCCACCCCAAGCCTAATTCTCGTCAGTCTCCAATCTTCTGAAGCATAATGAACAAGCTCTTACATGGTGAACAAATTCTTACATAGTGAATAAGTTCTTACATGGTGAATAGTGCAAGGGCAGTCATCACAGAAACTTTCGGTTTTGATCACGCATTATGAACTATGGTCAAATATGAATATTCATTTGATTTTTATACTTGATTTATATGTGGATCCCACATTTCTCCCTTTATTATTATTATTATT